GATACAGCCGGTGTGTTGAAAGGAAAGAAAGAAAGAAGTATTTTGGGTCTCTTATGATTTCATTAATTGCTTATAGCTCCCTCTGTCCCTACTAAATTCTGCATATTTCACTAGTTACAATTTTCTATTACTTTAGCCAGTGCTTCCCTCCTCACTTAAGACAGGATCTCTGTGCATACTGGTCTGAATTGACATTAAGGTGTGTTCCAATTTACTGTCTACAATATCATTATATTTTGTACCAGAAGATTATTTGTGAAAATAAGGTCAAGAGTATTTCCCAGTATTGTCGGCTCCGCTATTTTCTCTTACTAAGTTCTTCAACTTCAAATGGAACTACTATGCAACAAGGTATTTGGGGCTGGGGGGTTAGAAAACTTTCCAGGCAGTATTCCATTTCCAACAGCTGTTCCTTCAACTGTTAGGAAGTTGTATCTAGCAGTTTTTATACTTGTTAAAAGTATACCCCGCCCGTGGTATGGTTTGTTTGCAATCGTGTCATTACGATTTCATGAGTCAGTTAAATAAAGCTTGTGTATTCAAAGCCACTGCCCACTTAAAAGGCACTCTCTCATTACTAATATTCCTCTTCATAATCTCACTTTTGGTTATTAGTGAAGGGATGCTTTATCTCCCTGTTTCTGCTGAAGCTTTTCATCTTATTTTGTCAATTCTAACTCCTCCTGTTTCCATGGTAACTAGTATTCTTAAAGTACTGACAGCCATAGCAGAAGGTTCTCTTTTATCTTTGGTATTTGCTCATCTTTATGCAACAAGCCCCAGACCAAGCAACAAAAAATGTAAAAATGTAAAGCCACAATGGGGAAATACAAAGGTTCAAAATAAAGCTCTGACAAGAGTGCAACTGGCATCACAAGCTTTGCAACATGAGGAAACTTGAAATAAAAATCTGCCTGGTTAGATGAAACCATGGCTGTCCTCCATACCAGAGAGAAAGAAGGGAAGAGGGAGGGGACAGAGGCACCTTCTTGCCAAACTCACATCCCACCCTACAAACAGCTGTCAAAATTTTTTTTAACCCTTTCAGGGTCCGTCCCGTAGATCTACGGCTTTATGGTGAGTGTCCAAACCGTAGATCTACGCCATGAGCTCAGCTCACTCTGATAAACTGTGAGTGGTACATTTGGGCCTAGATATGAGAGAATACATCTATGTGGTATGTGTGCACCACATAAAACAGATCCTGCAGCACACTGTGTATAATGAGAGAAAAAAACTGAAATCATGATTTTTCGATTAAAACAGCAACTTTGCAGTGTTTTTTCGTATGTTTTTTATAGTTGTATTTGCGATTTCTTGGTCTCATTTGATAGAATGGAAGACATATTACAGAAATAGAGATGATTTTGATTGGTTTTAGCACTGGAAATGGCTTGAAACTGAGCTCAAAGTAGCGGAAATGTTAAATTTTTGCCAATATTCAAGAGTAAACAAACGACCTCACACGTCTAATACACGTCAGCTGGTGGGTCTAATATACATTCACAAATATGGTGATGATATTTATACAATTATTACAGTATTGCATAGCAGTAAATCTTCTATTTTTTGGTGTGAATAAAAATTCATTATGTGAATAAAAAATCAAAATGGAATTTATTTGTAAAGCCTCAAAACATGACTAATGAACAGAGGAAATGTTAGTTTAGTGCCAGGAATGCCTACATTGTTTATTCTGGACCCTATTTTGAAATTGGAATATTTTGAACTTTGTGTTAAATTGGCCAAATTAACAATTTCCGATCACTTTATTTTGTAGTTGAAACAGTTGACTTGGCGATTTCTTGTGCTCAATCGATAGAATAGAAGTAATACTAGTGAAATAGCTAAGAATTTGGTTGATTGGAATAATGTAATTGGCCTAAAATGGGAGTCAAAGTCGGCAAAATCGCCGATTCGTAAATATCGCTGACACATCAAAATTCGCGAGAGCATAATTTCGTCAATTTTCCACCAAATTTCGTACTTTTTGTTTTATTACCTTCACAAAAAGATTCTCTACGATTTCATAAGAAAAAATAACAAATTTTTTTTTTGAAAATTCTTGGACACTGGTGCGTGACTCCAGATTTGGGCCTTGGACCCTGAAAGGGTTAAATATAAACAGTGACTTATGGTCTTACTATCAGTCGTAAATTAACCCTTAAATGGTCCAAACTTATATACAGTGGACCCCCGGTTAACGATTTTAATCCGTGCAAGAGGGCTCATCGTTATGCGAAATAATCGTTATGCGAATGAATTTTCCCCATAAGAAATAATGGAAATCAAATTAATCCGTGCAAGACGCCCAAAAGTATGAAAAAAAATTTTTTTTACCACATGAAATGTTAATTTTAATACACACAAACTGAAAAAGGCATGCACAATTAAATGACACTTACTTTTATTGAAGATCTGGTGATGATTGATGGGATGGGAGGAGGGGAGAGCATTATCTTCTTACTGTTTAGAAGGGGAATCCCCTTCCATTACGACTTGAGGTAGCAAGTCCTTTTCCGGGGTTACTTCCCTTCTTCTTTTAATGCCACTAGGACCAGCTTGAGAGTCACTGGACCTCTGTCGCACAACAAATCTGTCCATAGAGCTCTGTACCTCCCGTTCCTTTACGATTTGTCTAAAATGGGCCACAACATTGTCATTGAAATAGTCACCAGCACGGCTTGCAACAGCTGTGTCAGGGTGATTTTCATCTATAAAGGTTTGCAGTTCAACCCACTGTGCACACATTTCCTTAATCTTTGAAGTAGGCACAATGGATTCCACAACTGGCATAGGCTTCTCAGGGTTAGCCCCAAACCCTTCAAAATCTTTCTTAATTTCCATACTAATTCTCACCCTTTTTACCACAGGGTTGGCACTAGAAGCTTTCTTGGGGCCCATGGTCACTTATTTTCCAGAAACAGCACCGAAAACACTGTAATAATACGAAATATTCCGAGTGTATGCTTGGATGTTACCGCGGAGGCTGGCTGGTAAACAATGGGACGGCCGGCACATGTGAGGCTGGCTGAGGGCACATTGGACGCGTCTCGGACGAAAATCGGTAAGCGGGTTTTTAATCGGTATGCGCGGCAAAAATTTTGCGATAAAAGTAATCGGTATGCGGAAAAATCGCTATGTGATGCCATCGTTATGCGGGGGTCCACTGTATACGTTTTTTCAACATCTGAAAGTATGTAAAAAAATGTAGATGATCTTTTTTGTTTTACATTTGAAAACGTGTAAAAAAAACTTTTATTTACATTTTTTTTGTTATATTTGAAAATATGTAAAAAAAAGTAGATTACTTTTGTAGCAATACGAATTTGAACGTCAATCTCTTTGGACCGTTTAAGGGTTAAAATTTCTGGCAATTCATATTTGTTTTCCTACCCTTAGCCCTTACACAAGGGTACCATTTCTTATGTTCCCCAAGTATTTGGAATCCATTTTTTTTCCCCTTCAAGAAAGCACATACACTGTGTGCAGCAAATCATCTTTCCCTGGTCTTGCTTCATTAGTTTGCTCATTCACTTGGTCACAACCATTAATTTGGCTAATAAAAAATAGTTATGAGATTTCACCAGCATTCCTCAGGCTTCTCTAACATTTTCTTTTAGTCACCACCTACAAAGGAGCCACTGGAAGCTGGCAGAAAGTGCAATGTATCCAAGGGAACACTATGCTCAACTTCGCTGGCTAACATGGCATAAAAAAAAGGGACAATTAAAAAAATATATATGAACATACAACAAAATTAAAGAAAACAAGAGAAACTTGGCTCATGAAATCATAAAACGATTGAAAACAAACCATGGTACAGATGGTGCTTGAACTTGCGGAAAGTGTGTCGTAAAATTACAGGCCAGCGCTTCAGCCACTGGGCCAGCTGGCTTCAATAATATTCATCCAACTAGGTAGGTTTTACAACTCACATGCTGTAAGTTCAAGCCCCACCCGTACAATGGTTTGTTTGCAATCATGTTATTATGATTTCGTGAGTCACGATGATGGTTTTGAGGGTACTTGAGCTAGAGTTCATCACAGCCATGCTGGCAGGAGATTCATCTCTAAAAACTTGCATTTGTGGTCAGAGTGGGACCCATGCTAACGTCCCTATGGTGTATAAATATACCTAGTTGGCTGAATCTTATTGTAGCCAGCTGACCCAGTGGCTTACGCACTGGCCTGGAGTTTTAAGTCTCACTTACCATGAGTTCAAGCCCCACCCATACTGTGGTTCTTTCAGAGAGACTCACCATTCTGGATTCCCATGTAGGACATGGCAATATGCTTACCCACTCAAAATGTTAATACTAAACTTAAAAGTAGCATAAACCTCATCTAAGAGGGTAACTTATATCTCTCCTCTCACTTCTTTGATGATAATTTTGCACAGGCTCAGTTTCACTGTTCATGATATTGCCACCACACAATAGTAAATTAAGTCATATTTTTACAACAGTAACTGAGAAGTATAGGTCGTAATACAGTGGCCGGAACAATTCACAACTAACCCACAAATTAGAGATCATACTAGAAGACCATTATCTAAGTCGTGATGTGGTTGTGATCTAGGATGGACTGAAACATCATCTTTAGTAGTGTCATCTTTAATTTGTGGGTTAGTTGTACTGTATATACTGTAGCTGTTATTACACGCTTGAGAGGCCAAACCTAGTGCACTACACACAATTGTTGACCTGAATATCCCATCTTTAAATTTTTGGGGAAAAAATTTAATAACAATTAGCAACACATTTAAAGTTTACTATTGTAAACAAATAGTTTTAATTATTACTGACATTTTACCTGTAAGTTAATATAAATTTTTAGTATATTAAGCATCTTTGAAATATGTAAATACAAAAAGAAAGAATTATTCCATCTACAATTAGAAAAGCACCATATTCAGAGTGAAATATTTCATACATGAGCAAAACAAATATGTTGTATACAAGAGCAACAACAGTAAATTCACGGATGGAAAAACTCACAACGCTCTGTGAAAAATCACGACCAGCCTTTGGTCGCTGAGGAATGCGCTGGAAGTACTCTTGGTCCCGGGGAAGTGGATTGCCTAGAAATAGGAGGATCTGGTGGGTTTCTCTGATATGAGTATGAAAGGAGAGGTGACCAAGATCTAGCACATGCTTGACTTACTAGATAAGGCATCAATGAAAATAAAAAAAAATGACTCCAGGAAGTCCATTACATGCTTATAACCTGAATAATATACAGTATAGTGTTTTTGTACAAATACATGTAATGGTCCTTTAATGAATGCAAACACTTCATACATTACGGCTTATGAATGACGACTAACCTTCCATTATCCGGCGCCACTTTCGTTCCTCCCAGCGTTCAAAAAGTATAACCAATTCATAGTGAGGAGTGTGAGGGAACAGGTCGACAGGTATTGCTCTGTATGGGTGAAAAAGAAATTCATTAAGTTTTTTATTTTAATTTTATTAACACATCACCCTTTTCCCATGACAGCAGGGTGGCCCGAAAAAGAAAAACTTTCATTGTTATTCACTTCATCACTGTCTTGCCAGAGGCATGCTTACACTACAGTTATAAAGCTGCAACATTAACACCCCTCCTTCAGAGTGCAGACACTGTACTTCCCATCTCCAGGAATCAAGTCCGGCCTGCCGGTTTCCCTGAATCCCTTGCTCACACTCCAACAGCACGCCAAGTCCTAAAAACCACTGGTTTCCATTGCTCCTATCTAACATGCTCATGCAGCTTGCTGAAAGTCTAAGCCCCTCACACACAAAACCTCCTTTACCCCCTCCCTCCAACCTTTCCTAGGCTGAGCCCTATGCCACCTTCCCTCCACTACAGATCTATACACTGTCGAAGTCATTCTACTTCGTTCCATCCTCTATACATGTCCAAATTATCTTAATAACCCCTTCTCAGCTCTCTGAAAAATAGTTTTGGTAATCCCACACCTCCTCCTAATCTCCAAACTAAGGATTCTCTACATTATATTGACACTACACATTGCCCTCAGACACAGCATCTCCACTGCCTCCAGCCTTCTCCTTGCTGCAACATTCACAACCCATGCCTCACACCCATACAAGAGCGTTGGTATAACTATACTCCCGCACATTCCCCTCTTTGCTTTCATGGATAAAGTTTTTCGTCTCTGCAAACTCCTCAGTGCACCACTCACCTTTTTCCCCTCATCAATTCTATGATTGACCTCATTTTTCAAAGACCTATCCGCTGACGCATCCACTCCTAAATATCTGAATGCATTTATGTCCTCCATACTCTCTCCCTCCAGTCTACAATCTTCCGTTACCTTTTTTTTTTTTTGTTATTCTCATTGCCTTACTCTTTCCTATATTCACTTTTAATTTCCTTCTTTTACATATCCTACCGAACTCATCAACCAACCTCTGAACCTTCACTTCAGAATCTCCCAAAATCAGTGTCATCAGCAAAGAGCAACTGTGACAACTCCCACTTTGTGTTAGATTCTTTATCGTTTAACCCCACACCTTTTGCCAACACCCGAGCATTCACTTCTCTTACAACTATATCTATAAATATGTTGAACAACCATGGTGACATCTCACAACCATGTCTAAGGACAACTTTAATTGGTAAGCAATCCCCCTCTCACCTACATACCCTAACCTGAGCCTCACTATCCTCGTAAAGACTCTTCACTGCTTTCAGTAACCTACCTCCTATTCCGTACATCTGCAACATCTGTCACAGTGCCCCCCTATCCACCCTATAATATACCACAAAAACCTCTTTACATTTATCTAAATACAGTTTCACTGCAAACACTTCATCTACACACCCCCTACCCTTCCTAAAGCCTCCTTGTTCATCTGCTATCCTGTTCTCCATCTTACTCTTAATACTTTCAATAATAACTCTACTATACACTATCAGATATACTCAACAGACTTATTCCCCTATAATTTTTACACTCTCATTTGTCCCCTTTCCCTCTATACAATGAACTATGCATGCTCTCTGCCAGTCTCTAGGTACCTTACCCTCTTCCATACATTTATTACATAAAAAACTAACCACTCCAAAGCTATATCCCCACTTGCTTTTAACATTTCTATCTTCGTATTGGACTGATGAAGCCACTGTGTGGCAAAACGTTTCTTCAATAAAGATTCCCATATGTTGCATAAGTGTCTCAATTCTTCAAGTTGTCAGTTTTCAACCATTTATCACCACACACACACACACACACACACACACACACACACACACACACACACACACACACACATTTCTATCTTTATCCCATCAATCCCAGCTTGTTCATCCTCATTTCTACAAGATGTTATTCCTCCTTGCCCAATACACGAAATCACAGCTTCTTTATATTCATCAACATTTAACAATTCCTCAAAATATTCCCTCCATCTTCACGATACCTCTGACTCTCCAATTAATAACTCTCTTCTCCTATTTTTAACTAACATATCCATTTGTTCCCTAGGCTTTCTCAACTTATTAGTCTGACTCCAAAACTTTTTCTTGTTTTCAACAAAATTTGTTGATAACATCTAACCCACAGTCTCATTGGCTCTTTTTACATTGCTCCACCACTCTTTCTTTCCATATACTCTTCCCCCCTTGTATCACTTTTAATTTGTAAAAACCTCTTATATGCTAACTTTTTCTCTGTTACTACTCTCTTTACATCATCGTTCCACCACTCTTCTTCCCCCCTGCACCCACTTTCCTATAACCACAAACTTCTGTTGAACACTAACACTATATTTATAAATTTACCCCATACATCTTCTAACTGTGCTCTTGGGAGATTCTGAAGAGAAGTTGCAGAGATTGGTGGATGAATTTGGTAGGGTGTGCAAAAGAAGAAAATTGAAAGTGAATACAGGAAAGAGTAAGGTTATGAGGATAACAAAAAGATTAGGTGATGAAAGATTGGATATCAGATTGGAGGGAGAGAGTATGGAGGAGGTGAATGTATTCAGATATTTGGGAGTGGACATGTCAGCGGATGGGTCTATGAAAAATGAGGTGAATCATAGAATTGATGAGGGGAAAAGGGTGAGTGGTGCACTTAGGAGTCTGTGGAGACAAAGAACTTTGTCCTTGGAGGCAAAGAGGGGAATGTATGAGAGAATAGTTTTACCAACGCTCTTATATGGGTGTGAAGCATGGGTGATGAATGTTGCAGTGAGGAGAAGGCTGGAGGCAGTGGAGATGTCATGTCTGAGGGCAATGTGTGGTGTGAATATAATGCAGAGAACTCGTAGTTTGGAAGTCAGGAGGAGGAGGTGCGGGATTACCAAAACTGTTGTCCAGAGGGCTGAGGAAGGGTTGTTGTGGTGGTTCGGACATGTAGAGAGAATGGAGCGAAACAGAATGACTTCAAGAGTGTATCAGTCTGTAGTGGAAGGAAGGCGGGGTAGGGGTCAGCTTAGGAAAGGTTGGAGGGAGGGGGTAAAGGAGGTTTTGTGTGCGAGGGGCTTGGACTTCCAGCAGGCATGTGTGAGCGTGTTTGATAGGAGTGAATGGAGACAAATGGTTTTTAATACTTGACGTGCTGTTGGAGTGTGAGCAAAGTAACATTTATGAAGGAGTTCAGGGAAACTGGCAGGCCGGACTCGAGTCCTGGAGATGGGAAGTACAGTGCCTGCACTCTGAAGGAGGGGTGTTAATGTTGCAGTTTAAAAACTGTAGTGTAAAGCACCCTTCTGGCAAGACAATGATGGAGTGAATGATGGTGAAAGTTTTTCTTTTTCGGGCCACCCTGCCTTGGTGGGATCGGCCAGTGTGATAATAAAAATAATAATAATAACATCTTCTAACCCACTGCCTATACTCACACTAGCCCATCTGTCCTCTAACAATTGTTTATATCTTACCCTACTTGCCTACTCCTTTAGTTTATAAACCTTCACCTCTCTTTTACTTGCTGCTTCCATTTTTCTTGTATCCCATCTACCTTTTACTCTCACTGTAGCTACAACTAGAAAGTGATCTGATATATCTGTGGCCCCTCTATAAACATGTACATTCTGAAGTCTACCCAACAGTCTTATATCTACCAATAAGCAGCCCAACAAACTACTGTCATTATGCCCTATATCATATCTTGTATACTTATCCTCTTTTTCTTAAAATATGTATTACCTATAACCAAACCCCTTTGTATACAGATTTCAATCAAATGCTCCCCATTATCATTTACACCTGGCACCCCAAACTTACCTACTACATCCTCTCTAAATGCTTCTCCTACTCTGGCATTTAGGTCCCCTACCACAATTACTCTTACTTGGCTTAAATGCTCCTACACACTAGCTTAACATCTCCCAAAACCTCTCTCTCTCTCTCTCCTATACACTCCTCTCTTCTCCAGGCACATACACACTTATTATAACCCACTTTTCACATCTGACCCTTATTTTAATCCACATAATCATTGAATTTATACATTTATATACCCTCTTCTCTCTCCATAACTGATCCTTTAACACGACTGCTACCCCTTCCTTAGCTCTCTCTCTCTCAGATACTCCTGACTTAATCCCATTTATTTCTCCCCACTGAAACTCCCCTACCTCCTTCAGCTTTGTTTCGCATAGAGCTAGGACATCCAACTTCTTTTCATCCATAACATTAACAATCACCTCTTTCTTATCATCCACAATATATCTACACACACTCAAACATCTCAATTTTATGAAGTTCTTCTTTTCCCTCTTTTTAGTAATTTATACAGAAGGGGTTACTAGCCCAATGCTCCAGGCATTTAGTTGCCCCCTACGACATATACAGCTCATGGTGGAAGAATTCTGTTCCACTTCCCCTTGGAGATAAGCAGAAATAAACAAGAATGAGAACTATGAAGAAAACAGAAGACAACCCAGAGGGGTTAGTATGTATATGCTTGTACACGCATGTGTAATGTGACCTAAGGTTAAGTTTATTATTATAAAAATACTATCTTATATTTGTAACAATCTCTAAAAATAAGAAGATCAAATAAAACACAGTATGGCCCCACTTATACGGCAGATTAGGTTCCAGGCTACAGCTGGAAAGCGGACATTGCCGAAAAGCAGAATGCCATTTTTTCCACTTATAAATGCACATAAATGCCAAACAACAAGTTTACACTAACATATATTAAGCTAACAGTAGAACTAGGCATTAAAAAACAAAAAAAGTCAAATACAGTGGACCCTCAACCAGCAATGGCATCGATTAACGATAAATCTGACTAGCGATACATTTTAACGCAAAAATTCTGCCTCAACTAGCGCTTAAAAACCCGACCAGCGCTATTCGTTCCGTACCATACGCATCCACTTTGGCCTGAGTGCGCCTCACTTGTCCCTTGGTGCCAGTGTTTACAAGCCAGCCAGCCACTGCGGTCGCTTCCAAACATACAA